AAAGTTATATTAAAGTTTTTCTTCATTACCCATTTAAGCCGTCTCCAGCCATTATTATATTTCTAATAAGGTCCAATAATTTCCTTTTAGCGATTAATTTTAGAAAAATCGATGTAACATCTTCTAAACGGAAAAAGAGAAACAAACAAATAACTTAGACGAGATCATCAATAGAAATATAGCCACTTGTCAGCTGTATCAGATAGATGTTTAGAATTTGAAACAAAGTTGTCTAACGTTTAATAATACGCTCTGAGAGTTTCTTCTGTAGCATTCTCTAAAGACGCACATGGTCAAATGAGGAGAAGATTATCAACTTCTCTTGGGAAATGAAAGTATTATTTAAATTCGATGACGAGGAACCCACTTTGAGACTAATAATGGCTGGAGACGGCTTGAATGGGTAATGAAGAAAAACTTTAATATAAGTTTAACATAACAGCAAATGTACAACGTTTCCACAAGGTTTTGATGATGACAAAACCTTATTATTTACTCTCCACGTTTAAATAAATATACTTTTTTTTGAGACAGGTAATGTAATAAACGAATAGAATTTCGCAATAAGAAAGACGATGTTTTTCATAGATTAATATTGAATTTTGAATAATAATAAATAATACTGAGAACTTGTTTCTTTAGTGTTGATGGTAGTCTTGACGAGGAGGGTGTGGTGGTTGAGAGAGGAGGAAGATGAAGTTAGTGATGAACTTTCGACCCTAGAACTCTGAGCCTGAGGTGGCACAATGGCCATCATCATTATAATTTATGGCTGTAGAATGCTCCAAATAATGCACAAGTATGGGGGTGCTATTTGTGGTTGAATCACATAAGCCAGAGCTTGGGGAGTTAGGGGTGGCACTTGTTTATCACACTTAGCACTTACGTTTTTAAAGTGTTGCATGATCATCACAAAAATGTGTGAATAATTGAAGTAGAGGTAGCACTGTGAATATTTCAGTTAGATTCGTAATCAGAGTCAAACAGCTTAGTTGAAACTAGAAAACTGCAAACCAAGTCAAAGTATTCAGGTATTAAAATGAATTCAGTATGAAATTTTTGTTAGTCTTCTTCGTCGAGGCCAGGTGTGACCTAGTGATCAGTGTGCTCGTACAGTGGTTCCGAAATTTCAGATTCGCAGCTGTCAGATCCCAGTATTCTATCAGATAAGTGTAGCCGAAAAGTTGTCAGTGGATTCTATTGTTCATTTGTTTGTTGAATTTCATACAAAGTTATTCGAGGGCTACCAACGTTAGTGGTCTCTAATTTAGAAGTAATAGACTACCCACCTCCAATTCTTGGGCTACTCTTTTACTAAAGAAAAGTGGAAGTGACCGTCATATTATAATGCATCCACTGCTCAAAGGGCGAACATGTTCAGTGCCAAAATTCAAACCCGCGCCCACACAGATTGCGAGTCGAATTCCCTAGCCACCAAGCCCCATTTATTAGCTGCCTTTCTTTTGAGCTAAAATTTTTAAACAAGAAAGCAATCAGAGAAATAATTTTGTCAGTTAAGTATTTTTTGTATTATTGCAGTATGTGAGCAGCGTGGTGTCCTGTTATATATCTATATACATGTGTGTGTATTGATATGTGACCTTCACTGTGTGTCCAGCAAACACCACCTTTTCTGTTTTTGTTTTTCTTTGGTGAGCATTGTCTGCTAGAAGGCTTGTGAAAAGGGGGTCGGTTTTATTTTAATTACAAAATATATATTATCTTTATTATCATATGGTCATTGACTCCATTACTATGATATCACGGAAACATAAGATCAATTACATTCATGATTAGCATGACTTCAACTGACAATGTGACCGCTCCACGAATCTCTTCCGTTGATAGTTGTACATGAAACTAAGTACATAAAGTAAGTCTTGAACACTTACTATATTACTATAATATAGAATAATCCTAAAAGTGAAAGTAAATTGTGTATGATTTGTGTATTTTATATAAAAAGGAATATTGTTGTTAAAAATCCCGTGAGATACGATTAAAATATCATTACTCTCTAACTGTGTCCCAAATCGTAAATCCCACATAATAAATTTTGTAATATTTCTCTTTCCGATGTATTTTAAAAATTTTCGTTACTTTAGCGAGATGTCATTAATGAGAGTTTCTGATTTCTGAAAACCGGCTCAAGGAGGTTTATTATCAGGCAGAGTATATGTGGCGCAATTTAGTAGCCCTCAGTTACAGCAATTTAAGTGTGATTTGTATTTTTATAGCTTTCTTCGTCCCAATGATTTCCGGTAAATTTACCCTTGAGAAGGAGAAACGAGAGGTCATTACATGTTTATATGATTGATAGTTCCTGGAAGATTGAAATAAAACATTATATATAACTTGAACCTGTTATTATTTCGTTTTTATAAAACTTGAAAATACCGTTTGACGAATCTTTGAACAACTGGGTTTAATCTCTGTATACTTGGGTAAACTAAACACTTGGCCAACAGAACAAATGGAATATTGAAAGTTGTCCAAGAGAAATACTCACAAAGATCAAGATCCAGACTTAAGGAGTAATCTTAAAAGCTCTCAGAAAAATTCTTGTGCAGATGTGCTCTGTAATTACCTAATAGAAATATATATTCAGTGTTATCTTTCTTCTTGTGTATTTTACTTTACACCAACGCAATTTCTTCATTTGTTTACTTCTCAAATTGATGTCAAATGCTTATTTTATCTCTATTTCAGTTTTAAAGCTTATTTTTCTAAATAATGTTTGGTTTTTTTTTTGCATCCTACATTTATGTTTCAAATATATAATGTTTACGTTGGTATATTTTTTCTTTTTCCAGACAGGAGGCAGCTTATAGTCAACCTTAAATTTTGTCTCTTGCTTCTTTCCTTCTGTCAGCAGACAAATTCACATAATACTGAACCAGAATATCACCGTAGAAAATTATTGTTGACTTAAAACGTTTAACTATTTTCCACTCACATGTTCACATATCTATACGTCGGTACTGCTGCTTCTTTTGCGTTATTCTGTCTTTTTTCATCTTATAAGTGCTTTAACGTATGTAGTATATTATTTAGTAATGTAAAAGAAGTTCATGTCACTTGTAATGTTATTGTAAATTGAACTTATTCTCAATTACATCAGCTTTAAAACGCTTGGTTTGCGTTGTCATTTCTGTTTACATGGACATGTCATCTAAAATCCTTGTTGAAAGAATTGTTTTTATTCACATCAATGTTCATTTACCATTCTCTGTTGTGCAACCTGCATTTTAGACTTTTCTAAGAACCATGTTTCAAAGTAAAATCATAAGTTTTCTGTTAATTGATTTTTTATCTTATATTTATAGCATGTTTGAGTCTTAAAAAGGAAATTTTATGATAAGATAAAATACGGTTTATAATTGAAATTTACAAAAAAATAACACGCTGAAGCAGTTTTTTTTTAGTCTAGAATATCTCTTCTAAAGGGCACGAGTCCTAACTATAGTAACTTTTTATGCATTCTGTAATATAATGAAATGATTATGAGAAAATGGCTTATGAAAAGTATTAAAGATGAGTAAATATATTATTTGCAATATAACACCCGTGGGTATGGTGTCTAGTGCTTCCATCTATTGGTTATATCTAAAGTTGAAACTTTGATCAGTTGATATATTTTTATTCCACAATAAACCAATAGTCGCTGGTTTCAAGTTGACTTTGCGAACGTATTTGCATATTCAGTATTATATTTAATTATCTATCCGACTTAGAAGGCTGCGTATAAAGTTATTTGTACCCATCCCATTAAAAATCGTCAATTTAAATATTACGCTGTAATTTAAACTTTTATTCTGTCAGCAGAAAGCAGCAGCTCAAACTTTTACACCATAAGCCCTGTTGTCACCTGAAAGTTTTAATTGCCTTTTTTATTGAAATTAAGATCAGTATTAGCTTCTCAATCGAAAGTGTTCAATATGTTGGGCGAAGTAAATATGTATTTGTGTGTGGAAGCAAAAGTTGTTAATATAATAGTAAATTGACAAACAACGATTTATAAGCATAATGAGGTGGTTTTATTTAAGGGAACATATTACATGTTAAATATGTTATTTACCGAGCTTACTTTACATTTCTATTCGTAGTTCATAACAATACGTATAATTATCTTTACTTTCTTTACTTCCATCTCTCTCTCTGGTTTTCTTAAAATGCATAAATATATATCTTCCGGCTGGTTTTTAACTATATTGTTTTTAGGCTACTGATTTTTTATTGATTTTTACTGGTATTTCTTAAATAGGAGTTACTATGTTAATTGCAGTTACTAATTAGATAATCATAAATGTTATTTATTTTATGTTTTAAATGCGTTACTTTTCTTAAAACTTCGAACGTAATTCATTCTAGAAACTGGACCTGAACAAAGATGGCATTGTAACATTTGACGAATTTTTAGACTCCTGTACTCAGGTAAACAAAGCTTCTATTTTTTTATCATTTCATTAGGACCTAACTTCTTTAGTTACAGTGTGCAGGGATGCGTAATTTTCTTAATAACAGTAAATATACATAGTAAACGCTAGTTATTTGTATTTTAAAAATTTATTAACTCCATCAAACTTTCGTAAGTACTTAGAAGTTTAACATACTAAAATAAACATTTTATAAAACAATAACATTATTATCAGAAATGAAAACCAGAAATAAAAAAAAGACTATACACATCCAATTTGCAGAACTTGATATAAAGTCCTTTACTCGTCACTAATAACCTAATGAGGAAAAGAAATTCTCAATTAACATGTAAATCAAAATTTGTTAACTTTATTATATCATCATGAAAATAGAATAAACTACAAGTGGGTTTTACTGATTCACAACACATAAACTTTCATACTCTTTCACGGCGAAAAAGTTAGTTTAGACCTAATATGTAGTCAAAAATCAGTACAGAAACAATTAAATTAAGTTATGATTAGAATTACAAATTCTTCAAATATTTTTCATTTTGTATATTCTCAAAAATATATCCTTCAAATTACTAAAAGGAAATCTGTCTTTGATGAATACTAGACGTAGTTCTGCTCTGTTTTATTCATCTGAAGTTTCATTCATTATATTTTGCTCGACTAATATTGTGACAGTCGAAGCTGGATACTATAATAAACGATTATCACTGAACATATTTAAGGCCAGCTGTTATCCCTAACTATTACGCAGGTTAATCAAGCAGTCATCGTACAATGTGTTGTTTAACATGCTATTTGTTAGCTTAAACAATTATCACTGATCATATTAAATGTTACACAAGCGGTTATCTTAAAGTGCATAAGGAGTCGGTTAAAGCGTTAATAATTCACACGTGTTAATCTATGCTCAAATAATTTCATTTTACATATTAAATATTAGACAAATGATTATCATTCAGTTTGCCTAAGGTCAACTCAAGCGTTTGTAGATTAATATGTTAAGGTCAGTACAAACGGTTATCACTTAGATTTTTTAAAATTAACCCAAACAGTTATTATTCATGTTATTAATTCTCAGCTCAAGCAGTAATTACTAAAGATACTGGAGCTCAGCACAAAGTTCGGGCTTCGTCCATCCAGAACATCCACAAGCAGTTATTCCACACACAGCATACACTTCAGGTTTTAACTACAAGCAGTTATTCCAACACACACCATACACTCCAGGTTTGAACTACAAGCAGTTATTCCACACACAGCACATGTACTTCAGGTTTGAACTACAAGCAGTTATTCCGCACACAACAGGTTTATATTAAGATGCACAATAAAAGTTCAAACGATACATGTTTTAATTTTTCATTACGTATCTACAAATTGAAACTAGTTAACGAAAGCATCCTTTATTTCCGCACTAATATTACTGAATAGCAATTTCTACATATCAAGCTTGTTGATATTATTACTGTTTTAGCAGCTCGTTTTGGAACATGAAATTTTGAGTGAATATATTTTATAAGGTATATAATTAAATACCCGTTAAAAATGCATTACGACAGATATTTAAGTAAATATTTATTTTAAAGCCAAGGTTAAAACTGGATCCGTTGTATCAGTTATAAGCTGAATAAACAACATCGTGTGAGTACCAAAATTTTAACCAAATGAAACGTATGTGAAAGTAGAAGGTCTAAATCTTTTTAAGCTTCGTACAGCCAGTTAAGTAAATTAGAATTTAACGTTCGTTTTATTTTACTTTATTTTACTTACTTGCTCATGAGACGTATCTCCGTCGAAAGAAAAAAAAAATAGTGAGTTGAAATTAAGCATGTCACAATTAGCACAAGTTGACATCGCTATATTATCCAAGTTGAAATTAAGCCTGTCATAACTGCCACAAGTTGAAATCGCTGTATTATCCAAGTTGAAATTAAGCCTGTCAAAACTGACACAAGTTGACATCGCTATATTATCCAAGTTGAAATTAAGCCTGCTATAAATGACACAAGTTGACATCGCTATATTATCCAAGTTGAAATTAAGCCTGACATAACTGCCACGAGTTGATATCGCTATATTATCCAAGTTGAAATTAAGACTGTCATAACTGGCACAAGTTAACATCTCTATATTATCCAAGTATATGATGAGCTATATGTATGAAGAGATTTTTACAGATGCCTTAAAATGTACTCAAGTTCCTATAAGTTTGATTTTCCGTAATTTCACTTCATTCCATACTGAATTCATTGTGCATTTTGTTTAAAATATGTTTAATATGTCTGTACGAATTGGAGTTTTTGGTGGGTTTTTTTTCACAGAAAACGTTTCATTGTTTTTATTGCTTGAATTTCTAGGATGAAAATATTACAAAATCCATGAGCGTTTTCAATACAACTCTGTGATGTTAGTGGGAAGACTTAAATGCCAACACGTATCAAGTAAAGTATAAAAGAAAAGACTCCAAAAGCGTGAACTTATCATTTGCCTTATTGAAAAAGCTACTTTTGATGCTGTTGACCTTTGTGCCACCTCTCAAACTGCAACAACGTCCCCATCGTGATAGACTGGGATTATTTCCTGAAATTTTCCTTTAGATGTATTGTTTGCCGATACTTTTCTATTGATCCACCTCCCAAGTGCCAAGCAATGGGCACCTTTTCAGTGTTGTGACTCATTCATTGTACACCATATTTTCTACTGTATGACGTCACTTCCGGTGGCTGGTGAATAACAGTCATTCGAACACATGAGCTCAAGAACGAGAGTGATTATCTTCGTTGAGGTGTAGCAAAGTAAACCAACATATATCTGTCGAAGAAAACGTGCTTCAAAAATGAATGAAATGTATTGGAAACCTTCTAGAAGGAGCGAGCTCAATGTTTAAAGTTTTTGATCTTCCAAGACCTTCACATTATTTTATGTGAAAATAAAATAAAACTTATCTAACAATTTCAATTTGTTAAGCTAGATTTCTCTGAAGGATTTCTTCTTTGGAATCTTCTTTACGGTTTAAATCTTAAACAATTTCAACATCAGTTTCTTGTAAATGTGTAATGTGAACTAAGATGTTCTAGAAGAATTTTTTCATTAAAAAATAAGAAGAAGAAAATTATTATTTCTGTGAATATATCTACTTTCAAGTAGTAGGACTCGAATAAGTTTTAACAGAGTCTTCAGTAAGTTCAATCTTTTTCCCACAAACTGGTAATTTTTAGAAATATTTTACCGACAGGCATATACTTTCTTTGAACTCAAAAGGTACATGTAGTTTAATCTTTCTCTATAAATGTTTACTGATGAAAACAAGTTACCAGAAGTTTGATGGTTAGAGTATTTAATGATAATGTAGATAAATATCGAATTTTGTCTATCTCATACCAATAAGCACAAAATTGGAAAATCTGTTAGCTATGACCTTAAGAGCATAGCCAAGTTACTTAAAACCTCAAACATATCTACTAGTCAGTTAGTGTATTTTGTGTGTGTGTGCACGCACAATTAATAACATGATAATTCATACTCTAACTGTAATTATATTACTTAATATACTATTTTATGTATGCTTGTAATCTAGTAACTCAGTTGTGCAGCGGACAGCATAGATGATGTCTAGTTGTACGACACGTTGTATGTTGACATGATCATAGGGTAGTCTTTCAGGATAGCTGTTATAAATGAAGAACTAGATAAAACAACATTCGATGGGTTGATAGTTTCCTGATTCTAAGTTAAAGGTAAAGCATTGGTTCAATGCGAAATGATTAGTTTTAATTTTGGTAAAGAGAAATGTTGGTATAACGTATGTTATTCGGGAATCAACAACCTCACTGGTCTAAGATGTGCAATAATTCACATCTTTAGGCAGATGATGTTCTGGTGGTGCTATAGACCATTGTTTCTCAAACTGGAAGCCTCACCCACAAGAGGGATGGCTACGTAACGTAACCTGTGAGCCTATAAGTAGTTTAAAGAAAAAAGTTCCCTCAAAAATTATTTACAGAAATGAATAACGCGACCGTACTAAAACAATATAGTCAACACTGGTATATCCGACTACAAAAATGTTGAAGGAGGGGAAACTGGATGCGAAGGGTTCCGCGGACAGAAAAGTTTGATAATCACTTATATAGACAATACCAAGGTGAGAATCGGCTAGAAAAACACTAGACAAGATTACGGTGTGGTACAAGAAGAGAAACCTTTTGTTAAGATGTAAGACATCTATAGACATGATAATCCTTGTTTAGTCATAAAACAATCCGGGCAACGCTACGCAAGATAATCAATGTCTAGGGATGAAGCAGGAAAAGAGAAACCGTACATATAGTTTAGGTGTAGATCAGGTAAAGTAACGCAAGATAACAATTGCTCAGAAGTGAAACAGGAAGAGAGAAACCATGGATAAGGTATATATGTAAACAGTTTAGTGTTACTTAGGTAGAGCAACGCTAAACATGATTCGAAGCGGGCACACAAGTGCTAAAAATTACATTTTGTGTAGGTGTAAATATAATATTTAGAGAAACGATAGACAAAATAATTAATGTCTAGGTATAAATAAAATATTTAGAGAAACAATGGGCAATATATTTAATGTCTAGGTGTGAATAATGCATCTAGAGAAACAATGGACAAATAATTAATTTCTAGGTTCGAAACGGAGAATTCGTAGTCAAGATGGCCACTGTCTAGGTGCGAATCAGGTAAAGGTAATATTAAAGGAGATTTATTTTGTTTAGGTACGAAATAGGTGTTAATATAAAAACATCAGACAAGATCATTATATTCTAGGTGTGACACAGTTAGGGAGAATGTAAACAAGATAATTTATCCAAGTGTAATGTGAGATAGGCCTAAGCGTGAATTAGGTATCACAGAAACGTTACAATATTACTGGTGTGTGGATTTGAAATGGGTGAAGAAATGCTAGACAAGATAGCTTCTGTAGGTGTGAAACAGGCATGGAAACAAGAGACAAGATAAATATTGTCTAGGTGTGAACCAGGTTACACAATTACTAAATGTGAAATAGGCAATACAGTAAGTTTAGATTCGGTCTCATAATTATTTGATAAAGTAATTGGTGTCTAGTAACAGTATAGGTACACTAGTTTACAGTTTTCCAGTTCTCTTAAATAGGCTGTTTAGGTCATCGCCTACTTCAAAGTTCTAGTGCGGTAGTAATAAAATAAATGTATAATTATACCTGGTACCATAGCAGTTCAGATGGACCGTATGCCGTTGTTAGGTGTAGTAAATTATCGGACTGTAATATCTTGACTTATGAATACAATATTTAGGAATGAGTTATGACCAGAGGTAGCAACTTTAGGATTGCAAAAACAAGGATGTGATAAATATTACAAATATGTGAGGTAAAACGTAATAATACAAGCTTTCTAAACTTGTATAATAATATGCAAATTGAGCTGCAGTTCTTAAAATAAGCGAACACATGCAAACTACAAATAGAAAGTAAGTCAATTGACAAAGAATCAAAATATAACAAGTATAATCTGAATATTACACTACAAAAACGTTTAGGCTAATATGATGCGAAATCTTATTTGTTTGTATCGAATTTTGGTCGAAGCATTCCACGATCAAATGAAGTTCCAAGTCTACCACTAGCGTTGTTTTCTTTTGTTTGTTTTTCTAAAGCATTTGGTAGGATAGTTCATAAAACTGTAGTATTTTACATTGTGGTGTAGAATTTATTTTTAAGTGATACAATGCAGGTTATTATAAAAAAAATGCGTTCCTCCTTTCAAGTTAGAATTTACATATCAGGCGTTAAGGTGGCATTTTAGATAATATAACGTCAACTGCGTGCCGGCACAGTTTTTGTTTTATCTGTCACGAAATTATACCACAGGAGAAGGCAAGACTTCGATATGGAATAATATTTATTTATTTTAAATTCTGCATGTTTTTGCCATGCTGTGCTTAATGAACTCGTCGAGTGCATAAAAAATGTAGTTGTTTGTAAAGATGGTTAAAGTGATTTTTTTAAATGCAATTTCCCAAAATGAAAAATTTCATTAAATATTTGTTAATCACATTTTTTCAATTTTATTTGCATAATGATGTCACATATTTGTGTGTGTGTGTGTGCATTTAAAATTTAAGAATCTCAATAATGTAATATATAAGTTTAACCTATTGTTCAGGTAATACCCTAGAATTAAGTGCCAGTCAAAGTTCGTCTCCAAATGAAAAGATGGTAGACTAACTAATATAAAAATAATGTGCTGGTTGATGATCTATTCTTTTTGAATATATAATTTGAAAGCGTAAAGTATAAACAACTAATTCTGATTCTTAACAAAATATCTCACTTATATTTTGGTTGTTTCATATGCTTTACTTTACAATAATGTTGCTTCTAAAATTGATTTCTCTGTAATTTAACTTAGAGCAAATTATAATTTAACATGTTATATACTTTTAGAATAAGTATAAGAACGCAGTCAAAAACAGGCAGGTCATAGTTTGTCATAAGTTACATTTCGACCATAATTTTAATATTAATATTACGAATACATAACATTCAACATGTGTTTTACTTTGTCATCAAATCTGTTGTTCTTTTATCTGGACTATTGAGGAGCAGTTTTTGTGTAACTATTTTCTTTTCATTATCTTTGTTACAAAGTTCTGGAATTTGAAAATTACACATTTTCAAGGCCTTAAGCTTTAACCAACGATACATAAGTAATTCCTAAAGCATATGTTGTAAAAGTATTATCTTTTTTGATATTTGACTATTTAATTCGAAGCTGAGAACTGAAAGACTTACTTCATTCACTAATAAAAATAATTAAGAAAAAGAATAGTTTGTTGTGTAATAATTTGCCTGGTGAAAGTGACGCACGTTGAAAAAACAATTCTAATCTATTTTTTTATGATATGACCTGAATGGTTCAACTAGAAATTACATATAAAATGCGACCCGTTAGCATCAAATAAAGACCTGTTTCTACGGGATCAAGAGTATAACCTCAGGTTTCAAAAGTGTGTTAAAAGAGTAAGATATAAATATTTGCATTTAAGATGGTCCCTTCTAAATTAAATGTAAAAGGAAAAGTACGGAATGGGTTATCTTGTTTGAGTAAGAAAATTCATCCGTTTAAAGGTACTTCATCACTGGTTGGTTGTCTAGTGAAACATTGCATTGAAAAATTTCAGATATATGCACAATGAATACTTGTTTAATGAATAACTTACAAATTTGATTTATTGGGCAAAAATGCATAGTAGTATTTCCTTAAAATACTTATTTAAATTATGTTTGGATTTACAAACCAAACAGAAGTTTAAAATTGTAAATCTCAAAGGCCCTAGATTTTGAGATATTAGCTAAGTTTATGAAACATCAAATACAAAAAAGGACAATCACATTTCAAAGTAAAACCAACAAAAAATAATACAGCTTACTGTGCTACAAACATTTAAAGAATAACCAATACCAGGAGCACAAGGTATGTAGTGAACTATGACAAAGCAACTTGAACGAAGATCAGTTTTCTTTTCGCAATTTAAAAAAACAAAAAACATACAACCTTGTTTTGTATGTTAAAAACACAGCTGAATAGTCACATATTCCATATCGAATTTTCCTAAAAGACTAGTAGGCAAAAAAAAAAAAGTTTACAAAATGGTATAAGCTCAAAGCGTAATTAGTTACTATTTCTACGACACTACGAAGTAGCTTTATTTTCACTACCTACACGAAGGAAGTTTTAAGCTTATAGAACGTTACGTATGCGTGTACATACGTAAATTGAATAGCACGAAAGATACCAATATCCTTTAATATAAAGGACGAATGAAAGAATTGAGTAAATCACATTAATAACGTTTTACTGATACCACAGATTTTTAACAATTGGTTTAATAAAATTATCTGAACCTTTTGTGTTTTAAACTTAATTTTATTGAGTTTGTCAGTAAAAAAAAAAACGGATGTTAGTATTTATACATTTCTGTAACTTACTATACTAGCCACTTCTTTGTTTCTCATGTGATACCGACTTTAAAACACGTCAGTAAAAAGAAAAAAAAACGGATGTTAGTATTTATACATTTCTGTAACTTACTATACTAGCCACTTCTTTGTTTCTCATGTGATACCGACTTTAAAACACGTCAGGAAAAAAAATATATAGCATTTGCACTAAACATATACCACCCCTATAATATCAAATCTGCCATTATACATAGTTAAGCTCTAATAATACAGAAAATCTGATGTGAGAAGACTCTACTATTAACCAAATGTAACCTCACCCATAGTCAATCTCCTGGAATGAATAAAATTTACTTTGAGAAGATTCTACCACTAATCAAATCTGACGGCACTCATAGTGAAATTCTTGGAATTAATAAATCGAACTTGAGAAGACTTTACCTCTAACTAAATATAACATAATTTATAGTAATACTCCAAGAATGAATAAAATCTATTTTGAGAAGATTCTACCACTGATCAAATCTGACGGCACTCACACTGAAATTCTTGGAACTCTTTTTGACTCATTTGACTTGAGAAAAAGTATGTTGTTCTATTCGTCAAATAATCTGAAATAATATCTAATTATGTTCTTATTCTGTCTTAATATCAAAACACAACTCGAACATCTTTCTCTCTTAATGTTAAAATACATTATAACCTTTAAACTGAAGTAAGCATTCCTTGCCAAAAAAAATTTGACAGCGCTTGTCCTTATAGGATGATTTTATGAAATTTCCATTTCCTTTATGTATAATAATTTTAACGCATTTTAGGTTTTTAAGAATAATTCTCTGGGAACATTTTACTTTGCTATTTATCAAAGGGAGTCACTGATTTAAATAAGTTATATCATGGTAAAAGCAGTGCTAGAAATAGAAAACAATGAATTTAAGCTTATGTTACGAGCCAGAATCTATTGAAGAAAGCTTACTAAAATGAAAAGACTGTATAATACTGTCATATAACTAATCAGACTTAAATTATTGTATTTCAACTTCATATAATAAAATATATGTAACAACATTTTCATAGAGTGAATTGTTTCTTAGCGCAGATGGTTCTACTTAAGATTTTCACACCTATCTACTCAATTATTTATTTCATGCCTGGAAAACATCCTTTGAAATCTGACACGCAGAGATCGACAATAGCAAACTTAGAAGATAATAAGCTTCATTTCTTAACATTTGGTATCGTAGCGTTAAATTTCACATGTTTTATTAAATGGTTATTAATCCAAACACTACAATGATCCAAATAACGGTTGTTACTAATCGAGATTTATTTAATACACAAATATTTTTATAGTTGTTATGTCAGATAGTTTCTGAGTTAGTCGGAAGTTATAGCTTTGGGCTATTTCATCTATCAACAGTCCAGCTAGATCCATGATGGAAAAATGCGTAGTAGCAACTAATCGTAGGATGAGATTACCTACCTATGATGTGATATTCTAAGGACAAGAAAAACTAGGAATTGCAGTACATTAGAAAACAAAAGAAATGTGAACGTTAATTGATTTACATGATCAGATTCATTATTTGTTTTAAAAGAAAATTATAAAACCTTGGAATCAACACGTTGACTTCCTGTGGCACTATCTGATTGAATGGGTGACATCTAGTCATAGAGTAACTATCAATGCGTGACTGTATTCTGGTACACCTCGTTTCATACAATAGAGGAGTAGCAATCCCGTAATAGTTTTATGACCATTTTGTTACTGTGTTAATAATTATTTCCACTACTACGTAATATCATCGTTCTAGATGTAAGCACTCATGAATTACAAGATGATATGTAAAATACACATCTCGGCAAATGGTCGCTCGATGTTATGTCGAATAAGGACTCCCTACTTATTGTTTTGTGTTTGAATGTTTTTAAAGAGAAAGCTAGCCAAATAGAATATTTGTTTATCAGTTTAAAATTACACTATCGATAGACGACACGTTTAGTATAAGATTTTCTGCTTCACCTCTCTATGCCATAGATAAAAATAATTCTCAGGGCGGACATTCTACGAACAGATACGCGTTAAAATCTGTAAGAAAGATTGAATTAAGACTCCATCAGTTTAAAAGGTTTTACTCGGACATCCACAAAAATGAAGCCTTGAAGTAATAAATACTTGTTATTCTGTTCTGGTAAACGTCAGAGTTTTTTTCAACAAAAACAAGTAAAATCGAATATGTTAGCGGTAATTAAATTTGTTACGCTATTTCGAAATCTACTGGTCTTTTATTAAAAGTTTGCTGCCGGTGCTTGATGTTGTAAATGTTAAGAGTTAAATAAGAAAAGGGGTGGAAAACCAAGGTTGTCTAGGAGAAACGAGAACAGAATGTTTCATTCATCCAGTGGAGCCACACAGCTTTGCTTTTATAACAGTCTCCTCGAAGAATTATAAAACAAGCACAAATCAATCACAACTTCCCTAACATCATACAACTTCCACAAGTTCTACTCAAGATTTTATAAACGCTGATTCTGCACTTACAGAATTCGCGAGTTCTGGCGACGTCGCTTAAATGGTTATTCATAAAGTTAACTGACATAAGTGTCTGCAAAATATGCCTTGGCACTATCAAAGTAAGTTGTGTGTGTGTTGAAAATCTTTCCAAGATGTTATTTCTTAAAGAGGAGCAATAGTGGACCGTCTTCAAGGTAACTGTTAAATAGGGTACAGTTTTAGAATATCTGGACGGCGTTACCTTTAATAATGAATATTAAAATGACAACTATTCAAAAATGAAGGTGTGAATATATGAAATAATTGTTTTCATAATAGCAAGTACTACCGTACAGTCTATATGATAAACTTCTTGTTCGTGGCTATGGTCGATCCAAGTCCTGGTGGCTATGGTCGATCCAAGTCCTGCTGTAACATATCTAATACTATTGTCTTAGCCTGAGGTTTGAAGCAAATGAATTATACGCCATACCAAAGGTTTTAAAAAAAAGTTATTATATGGTCATACACCATGTCTTGCCAGCTAGTTTCGTAGACAGGGAGACTTGTGCATCTTATTCAGCACT